CCGAGAGCCGGGGATCGAGAATGACAAAAAACAGGACTTTCAATGTCTTGGGAAGACTTACAGATTTCCCAGGACAGCTACTTCAAGAAATGGACAATCCTGCACAGGTGGCAACCCTTGCTCTGATTGAGCTAGCATGGTAAAAACAGCAGTGTAGCTGTGGCAGGACAGGTTAGCTGCCCTACATACATACCCAAGGTTTCAGATGGGATTGGATTTGAGGTGGCTAACTAGACCTCTGCACATCCAGCTGCAGCTACGCCTCTTGGCACACACCTTCCTCCTGCATTCTGTCTGCCAGTGTCTATGTAGACAGCCTGTCCATATGAGGTTGAAAGAATGCATAACTTGCCTTATTACAGGTGGTGGAGTCCCCCTTGGTGCACTGGAGGTTGGTCCTGACTGGTATCACCAGGATTGGAGATCCAGGAGACTAGAACCGGAGGGACTGGGTCGACCCCTGAACTCTCCGCCCGTACATAGGGCTCTCCACCTCTTGCATGCCCCAGTGTATGCTCCAGGAGGTGAGGGCAGCCTTAGTACCTGTCTCTTGTGCTTTCCTCGAGCGGGCCCTATGGGAAGGTGCTCTCTGTCCACCCCTCATTTCTGGCCTTCCAGACCTCACCATCAGGCCCCTGTCCCTGGAAGCCTCCCTGGCTGCATCACCTGAGCAGGCTGCGTGACCTGTGAACTGCACCCAGGAAACAGCTGCTCCATACCCATCACTTTCTTACCCTCGTGTCTTGCCCCAACACCCGGGACCTCCTACCACCCATGGAAGGTGAGGAATGCCGGTGGGCCAGTCTGTATTCTATCCTGGTCCTGCTGCCCGCCCGGCATATTAATTGGCAGCTCTTTCACAGAGCCCTGAGCATGTGTGCTTCACCACCTCCCCTGGCACCTGCTCCTTTGGCGTTGAGGGGGAGATCTTGGCAAACATCTACTTTGAGTGTACCAGGTTGCAGCCCCTTTTCTGGCTCTTCCAGAACCTCCTCATATTCTAACCACACTTTCCCCCTCATCTCCTGATATATGCATACCCCACCTGTGACCCCACGAAGTCGCGAGACCTCCTCACATCAACCTCCTCCTGGCATCGGCCATACCAGGAGGAGAAAGCTAGATGTGCAAGTGGTCTGTGACTGGGACCTATTTCCGATTGTCCCTGAAGTCACGTCTCCAGGCAGAGTTCCTCTGGGCCATATCCATTGGCTCCTTGGATGCCTTAAGGAGCAGTGGGTGCTGGCTAGCGTTCTCTTCTTGGTGTCCCCCTGCTTTTGACTCTGTGACCCTCCCTCCTGTCCCTGTTTTTTCATTTGTTGTCCCCCACATTCAGTTGAGACCTGGGTCTGGTAGCTCCTCCCCTTATGCTAGAGAGGGGCTGTTGGTTGTGGGTGGGCTTCCCCAAGAGCCTCAGTAGGTGCAGCTACAGTAACTCCTCACTTAAAGTCGTCCCAGTTAATGTTTCGTTGCTGATCAATTAGGGAACATGCTTGTTTAAAGTTGCGCAATGCTCCCTTATAACATCGTCTGGCAGCTGCTGCCTCCTTTGTCCACTGCTTGCAGGATTCTCTGGAAGAGCAGCCCCTCCTTGTGGGGATTAGAACTGGGGGGGGGGCAGCCTCCCCCCATCAGCTCCCCTAAATTCCCCTGTAAGGTATGTGGCTCCGCAACTGCCCAGCAGCAGTTCAGCTGTCCCTCCCCCCACTGCCCTGCTGCTCCTGCCCTGCCCTCTGCCTTGGAGCTGCTCCCGGGAGCTTCCGGCTTGCTGGGGGTGGGGGAAAGAAGGGTGCTGATATCAGGATGTCCCCCTGCTCCTGCCCCCCACCCCCACTCTGTACCCCCTCTCCACAAAGCGGAGGGGGACACGGCTCAGGAATAGAAAGGAGGAAGCTGTTGCTTCCTGTCTGATCTGCTTAAAAGGGCAATATACTTGAAGTGAGGTCAGCATACGTAAAGGGGCAATATACATCTCTCTCTCTCTCTCACTCATGCACGAACCCCCCAGCACTTTGGAAAGTCAGCATCTGTGAAGCTGTGCATATGCTGTCAGGAGGAGGGAGTGGTACGCTCCAGCTGAACAGTGTGGGCTCATCATCATGTTCAGTTTTTGCAGGGAAGTGTTTGCAGCTACTGCCCTGCATCTATTGTGTTTCCTCCCTCCTGCTTCAGTCCATGCTGCCTTGTAGAGTGTGAGGCTACATTAACAGCATATTAACCCTTGAGGGCTCAGCCGAGTGCTAGTTCATCATTTAGCAGCACCCTCTTACTCCACCACCTCAAACAAGCTTCACACTCATTCATTGCTGTGTACAATGTTAAATTGTTTGTTTAAAATTGTTTAAAACTTATACTGTATATAATGTCTTTTGTCTGGTGAAAAAAATTTCCCTGCAACCTAACCCCCCCCCCCCCATTTACATTAATTCTTATTGGGAAAGAACTAGTGTGGGTATGTCTACTTGAACTGGAAATTACACCTCCAGCTCCCATATAGACCTACCCAATCACTCTGTAGCTCCAATTTTATTTCATACTGTAGCTGCTCTCACTCAAGCTAGACTAACTCCAGAGGAGTTGGTCTGAGTGAAGGCATAGTCTCAGAGAGCTCATTTATAAGCAGAGGGATGTTGCGTAGGAGGAAGAAGGTGGAAAGTGAGAGACTGAAGAAGCTCAGTTTATGTAACTTATCAAAGGTAAGGGTGACTTGACCACAGTCTATAAGCACATCCAGGGGGATATTTCTAACAGAAGAGGGCAGACTGAAATGCAATAGCTGGGAGCTAAAGCTATCCAATTCATGCTAGAAATAAAATGCAAATGTCTAACTGGGAGGTGAATTAACCATTAGAATAATTAACCCCCAGATGGGGTGGATTCTCTATCACTTGGAGACTTTTAATCAATGATTATGGGTGAAGAATGCGATGCTGTTGCAAAAAAGACCAATGTCATTCTGGGGTCTATTAGTAAGAGTGTTGTATATAAGACATGGGAGGCACTTGCTCCATTCTGCTTGACCCTCGTGAGGTCTCAGTTGGCTCTGACTCTATCCAGTCTTTAGAAGTGGACAAATTGGAGAATCCAGAGAGAAACAAAAATGATCAGAGCATTAGAAAATATGACCTGTGAGGAAAGGTTGAAAGAATTGGGCATGTTTCAAATATGTAAAAAGCTTATAAAGAGGGCAGTGTCATCTGTTCTCCATGAGCACCAAGGGTAGGACAAGAAGGAATCGGGTTAATCTGCAGCAAGGGAGATTTAAGATTAGCTAGAAGGCAAAATGTTCTAACTTCAAGTACTGGAACAAAAATGATAGCTGGAGCACATGAGTTCTGAGGAGAGGCTGAGGGAATTGAGATTGTTTAGTCTGTAAAAGACAAGAATGAGGGGGGATTTGATAGCTGCTTTCAACTACCTGAAAGGGGGTTCCAAAGAGGCTGGATCTAGACTGTTCTCAGTGGTACCAGATGACCGAACAAGGAGTAATGGTCTCAAGTTGCAGTGGGGGAGGTTTAGGTTGGATCTTAGGAAAAACTTTTTCACTAGGAGGGTGGTGAAGCACTGGAATGGGTTACCTAGGGAGGTGGTAGAATCTCCTTCCTTAGAGGTTTTTAAGGTCAGGCTTGACAAAGCCCTGGCTGGGATGATTTAGTTGAGAATTGGTCCTGCTTTGAGGGGGTTGGACTAGATGACCTCCTGAGGTCTCTTCGAACCCTGATATTCTATGATTCTATGAACAGGTTACTGAGGAAGGTTATGGAATTTTAAGAAAAGGTTAGACAAACACCTGCCTGGGGTGGTCTCAGTATACTTAGATGACCTGTAGAGGTCCTTTCCATCCCTACATTTCTATGATTGTTTTCTTAAAATGAGTTGCACTTACTACTTCCAGTGCAGCTCCAATAGTGGCAGCACCAGTGTACACCGGCTTCAGGTTTAGATGACACAGTGATTAAAATGCTAATACCTGTCACCACCCATCATTGCAAAAAACTACTGGAATACCATGTCCAGTTCAGGAGCCCACAATTCAAGAAGGATATTGATAAACTGGAAAGGGTTCAAAGAAGAACCACAAGAATGATTAAAGTATTAGAAAACATGCCTTATAGCAGGGGTTCTCAAACTGGGATCAGGACCCCTCAGGGGGTCACGAGGTTATTACATGGGGGTCACAAGCTGTTAGCCTCCACCCCATACCCCACTTTGCCACCAGTATTTATAATGGTGTTAAATATATAAAAAGGTGTTTTTAATTTATAAGTGGGGTCGCACTCTGAGGCTTGCTATGTGAAAGATGTCACCGGCACAAAAGTTTGAGAGCCGCTGCCTTATAGTGATAGACTCAAGGACTGCAATCTATTTAGCTTAACAAAGAGAAGGTTAAGAGGTGACTTGATTACAATCTATAAGTACCTATATGGGGAACTATTTATTAATGGGCTCTACAATCTATCAGAGAAAGGTCTAACACCATCCAATGTCTGGAACTTGAAGCAAGACAAATTCAGACTGGAAATAATGCATGCATTTTTAAGAGAGAGAGAGAAAATTAACAGTTTACCGAGGGTTGTGGTAGATTCTCCATCACTGATGATTTTTAAATCAAGACTGGATGTTTTTCTAAAAGCTGTGCCGGAGGAATTATTTCAGGGAAGTTGTATGGCTTGTGTTAAACAGGAGGTCAGACTAGATAATCACAGTCGTCCCTTCTGGCCTTAGAATCTATGAAATGGAGGAAATTTTAAGAACAACATTCTAGCCTTGACAAGGTGGGATGGAAAGAGCTGTAAAGCCAGTGTATGAGCAAATGCCTTGGGACCTTAGACTAAATATTGCCCCCTGAAAAGAGCAGCTGCATCTTCAGTGATCACAAGAAAAACTTTTGTGGGAACACTGATGGGAGAACCCTTAATAAATCACAGCTGGAGGCTAGACAGCCACACAACTGTTATAAGACACAGCATCTGAAATGGGACACTAGGATGGAAAATGGGTATGCTGGACAGGTTTTATTTCATATGGGGAGAGACTGCAATACAACAGGAAATATAGTATTAAAAGTAAATTTTAAAAAATGGGAATAGAATCTAGGTGTCCAACAGGAATTAAAATCCTGGGATGGAGTCTGGCCAGAACAGACAAAAAGAAGGAACAAATGCTAGGGAGCTGCCCATGGGACTGAAATGGCCTGCACTCTGTCTGCCAGTGTCTATGTAGACAGCCTGTCCATATGAGGTTGAAAGAATGCATAAGTTAGACCCCCTTAGACTTGCCTTATTACAGGTTCCTTAGCTCCTGTGGCAAGTGGGATCATCTCCCGGATCTTGCAACAGGCGAGGCTGGGGCAGGCAGCCGCCGCTGGCAGTGTGAAGAAGTCTAACTCCTGGGGAGGGTTTCTAGTCTTTAGCATTGTACACTCAGTAATTTCTCCCCCTATTAAGTGTCCTGCTCGCCCCATGCTGTTTACTGCAATGTTGGGAGCTTGCTCAGCAAACAGACACGTTGGCCAGCCCCATGTTCAGGGTTTCTGTGCTAGATGGGTTCTCTGGTGCTCTATGAGGTTGGAGCTCCAGCTGAAGCTCTTCCCGCAGTCAGTGCATTGGTAGGGGCGCTCCCCTGTGTGGATGCGCTGGTGTTGGGCGAGGTTGGAGCTCTGGGTGAAGCTCTTCTCGCAGTCGGAGCACTTGTAGGGGCGCTCCCCTGTGTGGGTGCCCTGGTGCCGGATGAGGTGGGAGCTCTGGCAGAAGCTCTTGCCACAGATGGTGCAGCGGTAGGGCCGCTCTCCAGTGTGGGTGCGCTGGTGGCTGACCAGGTGGGAGCTTTTGCAGAAGCTCTTCCCGCAGTCAGGGCACTGGTAGGGGCGCTCACCCGCATGGCTCAGCCGGTGGCTCAATAGCTTTGTGCTCTCCCCAAAGGTCTTTCCACACTGGGGACATCGGTAGGGCCGGTCACCTGCATGGCTGAGCTGGTGCCGGGTGAGGTGGGCACTGACCCCGAAGCCCTTCCCGCAGTCCCCACACTTGTAGGGTCTGTCGCCCGTGTGGATACGCTGGTGCTGCACCAGGTATGAGCTGCGCCCGAAGCTCCTACCACACTCCCCGCACTTGTAGGGCTTCACTTCCACATCAGCTCGCGGCTGGCTGCCAGCAATGCGGGAGAAGCGTGTCTCACACTCAGCACAGTGGTGTGGCCGTGGCCTCTGCTGGATGCTCCGCGTGAAGCTCTTCCCACAACTGGCGCACGTGCAGGGCAGCTCTCCAGCGGCATGGGTGCCCTGGTGCCGGATGAGGTGGGAGCTCTTGTTGAAGCTCTTCCCGCACTGTGTGCACTTGTAGGGCCTCAGCCCCTTGTGGATGCGCCTGTGTTGGATGAGCGCAGAGCTACGGGTGAAGCTCTTCCCGCAGTCGGGGCACTTGTCTGGCCGCTCGCCCGTGTGCACGCGCTGGTGCTCGATGAGGTTGGAGCTCCAGCTGAAGCTCTTCCCACACTCTCCGCACTTGTAGGGGCGCTCACCCGTGTGGATGCGCTGGTGCTGCACCAGGTTGGAGTTCTGACTGAAGCTCTTCCCGCAGTCGGGGCACTTGTAGGGGCGCTCGCCCGTGTGGGTGCCCTGGTGCCGCAGGAGGTGGGAGCTCTGGCTGAAGCTCTTGTTGCAGTTGGTGCACTTGTAGGGCTTGACACCCTGGTGCACGCGCTGGTGCTCCGTCAGGTGGGAGCTCTGGGTGAAGCTTTTGTCGCAGTCAAGGCACTGGTAGGGGCGCTCGCCTGTGTGCACCCGCTGGTGCTGGGCGAGGTTGGAGTTCTGGGTGAAGCTCTTCCCACAGTCAGAGCACTTGTAGGGGCGCTCGCCAGTGTGGGTGCCCTGGTGCCGGATGAGGTGGGAGCTCTGGCTGAAGCTCTTGTTACAGTCAGTGCAGTTGTAGCGTTTCTCTTTGAATTGGAGCCCTCTCCCCCAGAGCGGGGATCTGCCCAGGGGCTGCTGCTCTCTGTTGTTTCCCCCCAGCAACTCCGACCCGCCAGGACTGTCTGAGCCAACTTCCTGGGGGATGTTCCCTTTTGGTCTACCCTCTTCCTCAGGACCTCCCTGCAGAGGGCTCTCCACCTCCTTCTCACTCATGATCCCATCTGCTGAAATAAAAGAGAATCCAGGCAATCACTCACTTGCCCCCTGGGTTGGGAGGAAAGAGGAACTGCAACACAAGAATTTTTTGGGGGGGGGGGGGGAATTGGAAAGGGGAATTTGCAAAAAAGGTTTACTGTTGGACCTAACAGAGAGCACTGGTCCTTTAAGGGCATGCTTATTACAGAGCCTCTGTCTCTTTAAAGCCAAGCATTCTGGGAATTGTTAGGCCGAAGCCTCAGTCATGGTAGGCTGAAAGCAAGGCCTGCTGGGATTAGACAGATATAAAAGCCAAGCTGCTCTAGCAGTAGAGAAAGGAATCTTTTATGGGGTGGGCAGCTGTGGCTGTTAGGTCTTTTCTGGCAAGAGCTTGGAGAAGGAAACTGTCTGGAACTATGACCATACACTGATGAGAAAGCTAGGAGTTCCCTGCAGCTCAGCCAAGTGAAAGGGCTGTCATCAGAGTCCAGTGGGAGGGCTAAGGGGAGCCTCTGTAGCAGAGAGGTGGAAGGCCAGCTGTGATCCAAGGGAGGCTGGACTGTCTGCAGACTGTAGTCTAGTAGCATAAGGATAAAGTGTGGCTGGAACTGGGGGAGGGTGTCCTATGCCAAGTATTGGAATATTTTGGGCCATTAATAAAACCAGGACCTGGGAAGTCAGGCTACTTTGGAACTCTAGCTGAGGGGGTGTGTGTGATACAATATTGCCAACTCCAGTGACCTCTATTGTGTGATATTTCATGTTTGCCTTAAAACCCTCCTGGCTGGAATTAAGAGATTGCATGAGAATCTCAGCTTTAATTCTTCAGAGAGGTTTCCTGCGCTCCTGGCTACAAAGAACTGCTTGTAAACTGCTTGTGTGCAGCCTAAAGGCTCAAAACCAAGAAGAAAGATAAACGTGGGTTTGTTTTCTTAAATCTCATGTTTTTTAAGTCACTTATGGTATTGGGGGAGGGGGGAGGAGAGAGAAGCTGAGTTTTTGACTACTTGTAGCTGGGGATAACAGTAGTCACTTAAGGGGGAAACTGAGGCACAACTGTACCCCTGGTGATGGAGGAGTGATTTGAACCTCCTACACAAACAGACCAAGCACTGTGTTGCCCAAACATGTCTGGAGGGGAGAGACAAGGCGAGCCGATGAGCAGCTGAAGTAAAACAGAGAGCATAGATGAAGCAAGGGCCTACCACCAAAAATCCAGCTGGGATTGATAAAGCCAGAGCTGCTCCCCTCCAGATCACCCCATAAAAGAACTCCTCCTCCCATTACTACAGTGGCTTGGCTTTTATAGCCTTCTAATCTGAGCAGGCCTTGCTCTCAGCCTGTCAACACATGAGCTATAGATACTACAAGTCCCAGAGCACCTGTAACATGAGTGCTCTTAAAGGTTCAAGAGCAAAACTTTCTTGCAAATTCCTCTATTCCCCCCCACCCCCCGCAATATTCTGTTTTGCAGTTCCCCTTTCCTCCCAATTGTCAGTGGGTGGATTCAAAACAAAACAGGATTTTAACAAAGGCATCAAGGAAGAGTTTATTCTTGATCTTGTTTCAATATTACCTCTCCCTGTGCTGCCATGGAGTGAGCTGGCTGACTGGCTTACAAGGCAGAATGGGGTGACAGGCTGGGCTGTGCACCCCCAGAACTAGATTGGGAGACCCTGCTGGGCTGTGCATGTTCCTGCCATTGTGGCCCTGGAGTTGGCTGGGTTGTGGTGGGGTAACCCTACTGGGCTGTGCATTCCCCACCCCGCACGGCTGCCATTCTCCCATACAGCTAGCTGACTGGGTTGCAGGGGAGAGCCCTTCTGGACTGTACATTTCCCCCACCCTTCCCCCATGCTGCCTTGGAGTTGGCTGAGTTGTGGGACCTAGCTAGGCTGTGCACCCCCACATCACTCCTGGTGTTGCAGGGCAGTGCAGTGCAACCCCCATGCTAGCTGGGTTGGGGGTGGTCCCTATAGGGCGGTGCAACCCCTCGCTGCCCTGGGGCTGGCTGGGTTGGGGGTCCCTGCGGGGCATGCACCCCCATGCTGCCCTGGGGCTGGCTGGGTTGGGGGTCCCTGCAGGATGGTGCACCCACCCTTGCTGCCCTGAAACTGGCTGGGGTTGGGGTCCCTGCAGGGCAGTGCATCCCCCCTCGCTGCCCTGGGGCTGGCTGGGTTGGGGGTCCCTGCGTGGCACTGCACCCCCACCCTGCCCTGGGGCTGGCTGGTTTGGGGTCCTTGCAGGGCGGTGCACCTGTGTTGATCTGGGGCTGGCTGGGTTGGGGGTCCCTGCAGGGCAGTGTACCTCCCAACTCACCCTGTGCAGGCAGTGCAGAGAGCCCCTCAGCCTGGCCCCAGTTCAGGTGAAGGCTCTTGTTAACACGCTCCCCCCCGCACAGGGCACTTCTGAGCCTCTCTAGCCGATGGAGGACTCGGCCGCTCTGTGGTTGTATCACTCCCATTCCCAGCTGCGTGGGGGGCCGGTCCAATCCACGTTCCTGCAGCCTGGGGCACTTGCCCATCACAGCCCGGCCCAGCAATCCCACCGCTTTATCACAGTAGCAATACTGGGGGCTTTCCCTTGCTGCCTGAGCCTTTAAGAGTGCACGTAGGGCTGGTTCTCCAGTGCTTCTCAGCGAATGCCAGGGCCAGACACTCGCTCTGGTTAAAGTAAAAGCTGAGATTTCTCTGTGATCACTGGACTCCAGGAGCTGGGGTTTGAAGAAGAGCAACAGAAGTCACCAGTGTCAAAATGTGACCCCCTAAAGACTTAGGGAGGCAAGTAAAAGAACCCCAGGATGATTAGTTTAAGAATAACTAGGTTTTTAAAATAATCTATTGATTTTGGAATGTGTGGGTGACTTTTAAAAAAGATGGCTTTAGGTAGTATTTAGAGTTCAGGGCTGTTGTTGGGTGTCCGTCCCCCCCCCTCCCCAAAACCATTTAATTACACCTTCCCCACTGCAGCATTTCTCATTCCGTAAGGGGGTGGAGGGGGAATCCAGCTTTTCTCCCAGCCACAACGACTAGAAATGTTTTTAAAAGTAAAAGCTGATATTGCGCTCAGGAAATTTGTGTCCTTCCTCTCCTGTCTTATATGACAAATACATTGTTAAAAACTGTAGGGATTTAGCATTAAGGTGGAATTTATGATTGCATGCAAATTAACCAGTGACATAACTTTGATAAAATGTTGAACATGGAGCGGTACCAAATTTGGCAGCTGTTGAGATAGTCTGTGCTTTGGAGAGCTTACAAGTGAAGACCCAGATCCTGCCAAAACTTCCCATACCATGTAGGCTGAAAATTCAGCATTTGCATAAATCTTGGTAGAATCAGAGCCTAAACAAACAACAGAAAGCTCATTAAGGGAAGGGATCTTGCATACTATCAGGGTGATGGTTTGCAAATGTCAAGTTAGTACTATGATGTTTTGTGTCTTCCTTAGAGACCCCATACTGAGATTGGATCACCTAGCACAATGGGTCCCCAAATAGCTTGGAGTATAAATAGGGTTGGTTGGGGTATAATGCAGTATTGGGTATTTTTTGCTCTATTTTTATTTATCTACATTAAATGTATGACAGGGCAGGGGTGGCTGGCTGAGGGAGGCACTAAGGCAGGCAGGGGTGAACTAAGGGGGAAGGAGCATTGACGGGAGCAGGTAGAGTGACAGTATGAGGGAAGAGTCTAGAGCCAGCAGCCAATCAGCAGAGGGATGAGAAGGTCTAGAACTGGAGCAGCCCCTGTGATGACATCAATGCTTAAAAGTCCCTGCTGCTGCAGCTGCTCCTGCTGGCTAGAGTCTTGGAAGGGATTCTCCCTTACACAGATCTGGGTGCTGGATGCCTCACACCTGCCCCTGCCTGCAATGTTCTAGCCTCTGGTCAAGAGATGGGAACAAGTTGTGGTGTCTGGGCCACTTGCATGGTGGCTAGGGACAAAGCAGATGAGGGTGGGCTGTTCGCTTACTGCCCCAATAACAGCTATGTGGGTGAAACCAGACAGACACTACACTCTCAAATGAACTCCCACAGACAAATGATAAAAGACAAAAACACCCTGTCTCCCACAGGTGAGCACTTTTCACAAAGCGACCACTCCGTATCTGACCTCTCAGTCCTCATCCTCAAGGGAAACCTGTGCACACGTCTCTCGGTGGTGGATTTTTCACACCCGAGAGAGAGAGAGAGCGCAAGCACTATGCCAACGTATGTTTTCATTGTAGACTAGCCCGGAGCACCTTTCCCAGATCTGAACAAGAGCTCTGTGAAAGATCCAAAGCTCGTCTGTTTCAACTACAGAAGTTGGTCCAATAAAAGATATTACCTCATCCACCTTGACTCGCTCTTGTTTTGGGGGAGGGAGGGAGACAACACTGATCTAGGGATTAGGGGACAGAATTGATGTATCCAGAGATTTGAGTTTGGGGAAGGGGAGATTGCAGTGTTGACAACCCCACGTGTTCAAAAATTATGAGTCAGACCTCAAAAAAAACCACATGCTTCTGGTTGAAAAATCATTTTTGGCTTCATTTTCTCTGCTTTCTGAGCCTTGGGTCACATTTTTAAGCATTACTCCTCAACATGAAGAGCTGGAGACTTAGGGTGTGTCTATACTACAAGCACAGCACCCCTGCTGCTGTAATGTAGACTCTACAACAATGGAAGGTGTTTCTCCATCACTGTAGTAAATCCCCACCCTTAAGAGCCAGTAGCAAGGTCAATGACAGAATTCTTCCATCGACCTACCTGAGTATACAGTGGTGGTTAGGTTGATCTAACTACGGCCCACAGATTGCAAAATTTTTCACAGCCCTGGGCGATGTAGCTAGGTTGACCTAAGTTCTAGGTTGACCTAGTTCCAGGTCTCATCTTTTTTTTTTTAAATAAAGGGTGTTGCTGTTCTCACTCAGTCTTGTGACTCCAGAAGCTGGGGCTTTGGGGGGAAAAACACCAAATATTGCAAGACTTGTGACAACTGGTGTCACAGACAACCCTACGGGAGAGGGAGACAGAACTGATCATGGCGATCATTGGCTGTTGGGAAGGAGAGGCTATTCTGTTGTGGGGGTGGGAGTGTGGGAAACTGATTTTTGGAGTCTATTGTGTGGTGGCAGGAATTGGTTTTCCAGAGGGAAAGAGAATTGGGGGAACTATTTTTGGGTCTGGGATGGTTCTTTGAACAGGGAAAGAACAGACTGGGGGATGGAAGGGAAGAGTGTTGTGTAGTGGGGAGGTTGACTTGTGGGGTGCCATTCACAAATCACCTTTTACCCTTTGACTCAGTCCCTGAGTTGGGGTAGGGGAAATAATCATAACTGGTTGGGGCTGGGGGCCCCGAGGAAGGCTGGGTGGCAGAGATGGGCTTGAGTTTTTTAGTGGGCCTGCAAGACCCATTGGTAGCAGGATTGATAGGGAGAGGGGTCGTGTGTGAACTTGAAGATGCTGGGAAGTTGCTTCAGTGGGAAGCTCCAGGGCATGATGTAGGCATGTTTATTTTGTTTGGGCTTGTGTTGCAGTGTAGGGAACAAAATAAGAACCACATAACACTTGGTTTTATTGATAAAGGGCAGCAATCATTCTGTGCCCCTTTACTCCAAGGGGGAAATAGGGAAGGAGTGCCACCAAGCCTTGCTCTGGCCCCAGCTCTGCTCCAGCCACAGCTGTGGCTTTCCTCCTGGCCCTGCCCTCCAGAGCTCCGCTTGTGGCCCTGCTTCCAGCCCCAACCGTTCCCCACCTCCCCCAGGTTGGGGGGGGGGGTGCAAAGAGATAAGGACAGGGGTAAGAGGGGAGTGTGAGGTAAAAAAAGTTTGGGGACCACAGAATCTTACAATCAGGTTGTATTTCCCTAGTTTGTTTATGAGAAGGTCATGTGAGACAGTATCAGAAGTCTTACTAAAGTCAAGATATACCACATTTACCACTTTCCCCCTAACCACAAGGCTTGTTAACCTGTCAAAGAAAACTATTAGGTTGGCTTGACATGATTTGTTCTTGACAAACCCATGCTGACTGTTACTTATCACATTATTTTCTAGGTGTTTGCAAATGATTGCTTATTTGCTCCATTATCTTTCCAGGTACAGTAAGTCCTCACTTAACGTTGTAGTTATGTTCCTGAAAAATGCAACTTTAAGTGAAACAATGTTAAACGAATCAAATTTTCCCATAAGATTTAATGTAAATGCGGGGGGTTAGGTTCCAAGGAATTTTTTTGGGGGCAGACAAAAGGCATTATATACTGTACAGTACTGTACTGTGGTTGGGAAGTGCCCCTGGCTTACCCCACACAGGCACAGCCCGCTGCAGGCAAGGACACTAGGAAGCACCTTTGCAGCAGCAGCTTCCCTGGAGAAGAACAGGCTCGGATTTTGCCGGGAATGCTCTATGCCCACTTCTTCCTGTCCCCGCTCCACTCCAGGCCCACCTCTTCCCAACCCCCACTCCACCTCCTCTCCGGAGCACGCCACATCCCTCCCCCCGCCCCCCAAAGTCCTAAGTGCCACCAAACAGCTGTTTGGCGGTGCTTAGGACTTTCTGGGAGGGAGGGGGAGGAGGCAGAGAAGCAGAACTTGTGCAATTCTCCCTTGTAAAGTCGTTCCTCTTCCACAGAATCTTACAAGCAGGCAGCCAAACGCCGTTATAAGAGAGCATTGCACAACTTTAAACGAGCATGTTCCCTAATTGAGCAGGGACGTAACATTGAAACAACAACATTAAGCGGGACGACATTAAATGAGGCGTTACTGTACTGAAATTGAGCTGACTGGTCTGTAATGCCCCAGGTTGTCCTTATTTCCCTTTTTATAGATTGGGACTAGATTTGCCCTTTTCCAGTCCTCTGAAATCTCACCCCTCTTCCATGACTTTTCGAAGATAATTGCTAGTGGCTCAGATATCTCTACAGTCAGCTCCTTGAGTATTCTAGGATGCATTTCATCAGGCCCTAGTGACTTGAAGACATCTAACTTAAGTAATTTTTAAACTTGTTCTTTCCCTAATTTAGCCTGTGATCCTATCTCATTTTCACTGGCATTCACTATGTTAGATGTCCAATCACCACCAACCTTCTTGCTGAAAACTGAAACAAAAAAGTCATTTAGCACTTCTGCCATTTCCACATGTTCAGTTATTGTCTCCCCCGCACCACCACCACCTCATTGAGCAATGGGCCTACCCTGTCCTTGATCTTCCTCTTGCTTTTAATGTATTTGTAGAATGTTTTCTTGTTACCCTTTACTTGCTATTAGCTAGTTGAATCTCATTTTGTGCCTTGGCCTATATACTTGCATTATTTGTTTATATTCACCCTTTGTAATTTGACATAGTTTCCATTTTTTGTAGGACTCTCTTTTGTGTTTCAGGTCATTGAAGATCTCCTGGTTAAGCAAGGGTGGTCTTTTGCCATACTTCCTATCTTTCCTACACAGCGGAATAGTTTGCTCTTGTGCCCTTAATAATGTCTCTCTGAAAATCTGCCAACTCTCTTGAACTGTTTTTCCCCCCCTAGACTTGCTTCCCATGGGATCTTACCTATCAATTCCCTGAGTTTGTTGAAGTCTGCCTTCTTGAAATCCATTATCTTTATTGTGCTGTTTTTCCTCCTACAATTCCTTAGAATCATGAACTCTGCCATTTCACGATCACTTTCACCCAAGCTACCTTCCACTTACAAATTCTCAACCAGTTCCTCTCTATGGATCAAAATCAAATCTAGAACAGCCTCTCCCCTGGTAGGTTTCTCCACCTTCTGAAATAAAAAATTGTCTCCAATACATTCCAAGAACTTGTTGGATAATCTATGCCCTGCTGTGTTTTTTCCCCTCAACAGATGTCTGGAGTTGAACTCTCCCAAAACCACCAAGTCCTGTGCTTTGGATGATTTTGTTAGTTGTTTAAAAAGCACCTCATCCACCTCTTCTTCTGGGTTAGGTGGTCTGTAGCAGACCCCTACCATGACATCACCCTTGTTTTTTTACCCTTTATCCTTACCCAGAGACTTTCAACAGGTCTGTCTCCTATTTCCATCACAACCTCAGTCCAAGTGTATACATTTTAAATATATAAGGCAACATCTCCTGCCTTTTTTCCTTGCCTGTCCTTCCTGAGCAAGCTGTACCCTTCTATACCAATATTCCACTCATAAGTATTATCCCACCAAGTCTCTATGATACCAGCTATGGCACAGCTGTGTTTATTAACTAGAATTTCAAGTTCTTCCTGCTTATTCCCCATACTTCTCGCATTAGTATACATACATCTAAGATACTGATTTGATTTGCCCCCTCTGTTTTCTCTTGTCTCTTCCTTATCCCTGCTATAATGGCCCAGGCTATCTCCCAGCCAAAGATGAGGACAATGCATTATAGCTTTTAATAATACAATATAAACTGAAGCCATGGGAAAGTCCTGTGGTTTATTATATAACAGATATGATCTGAATGGCCCCATTGTCCTGAGTCTAGGACCTTCCTTGTCCTGAAGATTGTTCTTGATCCTGAATTATAGCAATGTCAGGCTGAAAGGACTTTGAGAATTCATCATGTCCAGCCCCCTGTGCTGAGGCAGGACCAGCTGAACAGACAGCATCCCTGACGGGTGTTTACTGGCCAGGTTTTCATGGTCTTTCAACTGGAAACAGACTGAGAGCAGTGCTTCACAGAGATTCTTCTGGCCTCCTAGAGAGAGATCTGCTAAGTGGTGGATCCCAGACACCTCTCCCCCGGGAAATCCACAGAGTGGCAGATCCCCACCCCCAAGCTCTTCTACAGCATCAGGGAGACTGGTGAGTTAGGGTCTCACTCAGATATAAGGGCTTTGTATTAGTCTGATGTTTCTCTGTCTGGTTCTAGATCCAGGATCTGCACTGTCCTCCTTACCTGAGGGATGTGTTCTGGGCACTTACCAGGAAAGGAGGTGCACTCCTGTCTGGAGATGGAGGCGTTGGAAGCTTTCTTGATTTCTGCAGGTAGGTGGCATGGGTTGACAAGAGCGTTGAGTCTTGTGAGTTTGGGATCCCTGCACCTCTGACTTGTGCTCTACCCTTTGATGCACTCTTCCATGCTAGCTGTGGAATAGGGACAAATCCACATTCGTTCCAATTTCCTTTTCTGCATGCGAGGAACAGTGCTGTGCTTCCAGGGACAGGGTTCCAAGTGCTGCGAGTCTCCTGGCCAAAGAGAGACCCCGTAAGTGACAATTCCCAGAAGGATAGTTTGCTCAGTGACCCCAGGGATTAGCCCCATGCATGTGTGGAGGAGGAAGGGGAGGTAGATTAAGCACTTCCTCAGGGTGGCTTCATTAGTGTTGTCATAAACATACAGCTAAGGGTAGCATAAAATCCCTCTTTACCCTGTAAAGGGTTAATCCCTCCTTTACCTGTAAAGGGTTAAGAAGCTCAGATAACCTGGCTGGCACCTGACCAAAAGGACCAATAAGGGGAGAAGTTACTTTCAAATCCGTGGGGGAAGGTTTTTGTTTTGTGTTCCTTTGTTGTCTCTGAGTCAGCGAGGAACCAGGGCAGGGAAAATACATCTCCCTAAGCCATATCTGAACTAAGCATCCAATATTACAGAAATAGTAAGTAATAGCAAGGAAATGTGTTAGATTATCTTTGTTTTAGCTTGTGAATTTTCCCTGTGCTAAGAGGGAGGTTTAACCCTGGTTTTGTAACTTTAAAGTTTTGCCTAGAGGGGAAATCCTCTGTGTTTTGAATCTGATTACCCTGTAAGTTATCTTCCATTTTGATTTTACAGAGGTGATTCTTTTATTTATTTATTTTTTTTAAATAAACTTTTTAAGAACCTGATTGTTTTTCAGTGTCCTAAAGACCCAGGAGGTTTGATCTGTGCTCACTTTGTAACCAATTGGTTAGGATATTATTCTCAAGCCAGCCCAGGAAAGGGGGTGTAGGAGCTTGGGGGGATATTTGGGGGGGAGGTAGGGCTCCAAGTGGCCCTCCCTGAATGTTTGTTTAAATCACTTGACGGTGGCAGCGATACTAAGGGCGGGGAAGGAATTTGTGCCTTGGCGAAGTTTTAAACCTAAGCTGGTAGAAATAAGTTTAGGGGTTTTTTCATGCGGGTCCCCACATCTGTACCCCCGAGTTCAGAGTGGGGAGGGAACCCTGACAAATGAATTTTACCTTCTGCCTGTAGACTCCAAGGTGCTGAACAGAGCTTCTCCCAGGCCCTTTGATGGCAGCGCCACTGGAGGGACAGATGTTCCCTCCTCGGCCACTCACAATCTTCTCTAACTATTTATTTAGGAAGGTTTAACAGGTTTACAAATCTCTGCCATGTAAACGTTGGAGACAAAACAGTCATTACAATAGTGAGTTCTTCTTTAGAACAACTTAGTCATACAATAAATCAGCTCTTTCCATTTCACAGGGTGCTACCACTGACAGAGCAAGTCTCTTTACAATACCCACAAAACGCGGGTTCTATGATTTTATCACAGAGAGTGAAATCTCTGATCGCAGATATTGAACAAGCCAGGCCTGTCTATCAAATAGTAATATTCAAAAACATTGGACAGGTGCACTGGTATTTTGCAGGAGAATGTACTTTGAGTATTGAATAAATGGTAACCAAATATCTAAGTGTCCTTTGTCTGTTTTGCTGAGTATATAATTGGTGCATTAATTTTTCCATAATCTGCCACATTTTTTGAACCAGTCCTCTAGAGTTGGACTATTTATTTTCCGGATAGGAGGCTAGCAGTATCTTAGCAGCTACTAGCAGATGAGAGATTAATTCTGCATTCTGTTTGTGTGACCATTTTTGCTAGAAGGATTATCAGAGGATCTTTCATAATCAAACTTCACAAATTGCTGGATATTTATTACAAATTGTATCCCAATGCTCCACCGTACATACATACAATCTCCTCTTTCATCATGGTTTTTCCAACACTTATCCCCATTCAATCTCTATTTTTAATCTGACCGACGTAAAGTACTACTGAAGCAGTATCTTAAAGACATTTTCTTGTATCATGCTACAGTTGCTGCTCTTTCCCAGATCAACCCCTGTTCCTCTGGGGTAATTTGTCAGTCCAAATCCTTTTCCTAGCATGTCAGATATGGACATTTTTTTTGTTAAGAAAGTGGTCTGCAAAGATTGATTTGTTTTAATTCTTTTATTTCCCCAACTACCAGATGCCATTGCTTCTATTAAAGTTATTTTTGTTTTAAAAGAACTCTTTTCTAAAAAGATGAGAAACATAATGTTTAACCTAAAGGTACTATTACCATGGAAGAGTGGGTCAGTTAAAGTTGTGATCTCTGAATAAGTTAGAAACGTTCCTCCCTGAATGCACCTCACACTCGTTAATGTTTGTATAGACTCCCCACCCCTGAAAGGCAAGGTAGGGCTATTATCCCATTTGTCCAGATGGGGAAACTGAGGTTCAGAGAGACGTGACTTATCTGAGGACACACAGGAAACTCATGGCAGAGCAGGGAATTGAACCCAGGTCTCCCAAGTCCTTAGCTCATGCCTGAATTATTGGCCCATCCTGCCTCCTACCAGGGCCTTAGCTGGAGAGACTTGGGCTCGTTGTGCCAGCTCCTGGAACTTGTCCTAGTTTTGAGTCAGTGTTGGTGGCTGACTCTTCTAGATGCCAGAAGAGCAGAAATAGGCTTGTCTGGATATTCCTCATTCCTTGGTCTCCTTCCAAATGCCAGGCAGCTCAATTTTGCCTTTCTGGATTGTCCGAGTTCTTGCAATAATGGAACCCCTCTGTGAAGAAGGAAGACAGGAGGGCCTGGTGCAAGGTTGATCAAGCCAGAGAAATCCTGTCTCCTTGGTCAATAAAGAGCACCCAGACTTACCCTTGCTCTCCCCTCCCTAATCTCCTGTAGAATCTGGGACAGCATAAACACTGGATGGAAGGGATACCAATAACTCTGGCTGTACTTGAGACAGAAGAGGAGCAGTGGATGCTGTGAGATCTAACCTCCTGGAGATGAATTTCCCATGGTCGCAAATGGATACATTGCCCAGTGCTTTGGCTAAAAGGAGCTTGAGCCCATTGACTGATTGGCTCAAGCCAATCTGCTTTGGTACTCAGCTTCCCTTTTAGTGTGCAGAGAAGTAAGAATGATGTTCTCTGCCTGAACAGGAGGGAGGGGATATTTGGTTTCTCCTCGCTCACTGATCTGTGGCATGGCCAATGTGTTGTGCAGTAATGATGTGAGGGCTCAGTGCCGTTCTTAATGGAAGCTGTACTTTGTTCTAATATCTTTTGTAGTTTAAGAATATTTAATAGCACTAGGAGGTAGTATGAGCTAGTGGACAGAGCACTTACCTAGGAGTCAGGATACCTCAGTTCTATGCCTGATATGCCACTGACCTAGAATGTCTTTGGGGAAATCACTTAATCTCCCTCACTTTCCCTCTGTCTTGTCCCTTTAACCCTGATCTTAGATGGGGACCCTAAGTGATACTAGAACACAAGTAGTAAAACAATGACACTGCTAGCAAGCTCATCTTACTGTATATTTTGCCAAAACAACTACATCTCTACCCTGATATAACACGGTCCTCGGGAGACAAAAAAGAAATCTCACCGCGTTATAGGTGAGACCGTGTTATATCGAACTTGCTTTCCCTCGCCCCCCCACGTTCCTTGTTCCCTGACCGCCCCCTCCAGAGACCCCTGTCCCTAATCACCCCCATGCTCCCTGTCCCCTGACTGCTCCGACCGCTATCCACACCCCCCCCCGTCCCCTGACAGGCACTCACCGGCAGCAGCGGGAAGCAGAGCAATGTGGCCCCGGCCCACTCCACTCCACCACCTCCCAGCCACGGCGCTCCGCTTCCCACAGCCGGTGAGTGCGGGGAGGTTGGGGAAAGGATGCCTCCCGTACTCACCTGCGGCGGGAAGCGGAGCGACGCGGCCCCAGCCCGCTCCGCTTTCCTTGCCCCGGCCCCAGCCATGTCGCTGGGGGGGGGGGGGGGTTTGGGGAAAGGTCCCGCACTCACCTGCAGCAGGAAGCGGAGCGCTGCAGCTAGGAGCTGGCAGAGTGGAGCGGGCTGGGGCCAGGCTGCTCCGCTTCCACCGAGTGCGGGGGGGGAGGGGGATCCCTTCCCCCAAGTCCCCTCCCCCGAGCGACACAGCTGGGGCCGGGATGAGGAAAGCAGAGCGGGCTGCTCCCAGCCCCCCGCTAATCCCCCGGGCCACTCTGGGACTGCGGGCCCCCAAAATCGCCCCCCACAGCTCCTGCCTAGACCCAGGGGGGAGGGCTGACCACCCCCAAGACCCTCTGCCCCTTATCCAACCCCTCGTCCCCGGCCCGGCACCTTTAACATGCTGCTCAGGGCAGCGTGTCAGAGCTTTAGCGCGTTGTATGCGAACCCATGTTATATCAGGTCGCATTATATCGGGGTAGAGGTGTAGTTGATTGAAAAATGGGAAAAAATCATTAATATTTTCGTTTTTTTACAAAAATAAGTTTTCCAGCTAGCTCTGAAGATAGTGAAAAGGTCATAAAATCCTTGGTACAACACTGACTACAGTTTAAACTACCAGTCAGTGATACAAAAAACATTCTATACTGCTCTGCTAGTCAGTCTTTGCGGAGTGGAGAGAGGCTTCCTTGTGCCAATTAAAGCGTGCAGATTAGTGAGATTCTACCACACAGCTGGGCATCACATTCTAGTCTTAGCACAGTGAGCATGGCCTCTGGAAAAAGACAAGTATTTATAAAGGGAGGCCTGTTTCAAGTTTGGGTCTAAATGCAGACGCACTGCCATTTTTCGTGTCTTTCTGGCACAAGAACTAGAAATTCAGTCTTCTAGCATGCTATGACAGCTCTTTAATGTTCAGTGCCATTTCACAGAGAAGTGATATCAGACAGAAAGACTGAAGGAAAACAGATAGTGGATACAAACTGCTGACTTCTGGGAACAGAAATATCTGGTTTTGTTGATGCACAAGGCAGAATAGTAAAGACTGTCACAGTTATATGGGCTCTGCAATGCTGACTGAAATAGAGTTGCGTGTGACCCAAGAGGATATTATTCAGACATGCAGGAACAGATTTGAGCTGTGAAAACCTTCAATTTTATAATCATTTTTCTGACTGATTACATTAAATGACATTTTTTCATGATAATGTATTAAGATTTTACTATACTTGCCTCTATTTGTCTCAGAGTTCCCGTTGCCATAACCTAGAAAAAGACCAAAAGGCGGTCAAAACCCAAATTATATGGTAATGTCAGCTGTTCTAGCTACAGCATAAGGAGAATCAATTCTATCTAAGATCTGACCATCAAATGCACCCAAATAAGCCTGACTGTATCAAAGTGGATACCCCTAAAAAGAGATCTGAGCTTGACAAACCAATATTACTCTGGAGGAATTCTGCGCTACTGAGCATACAGAATTCATGTCCTCCGCAGATAAGGATGGGGAAGCAAAGGGAAGTCACAAGAGCAGTCATGTGTCCCTCCCCAGCAGCACAGGCGTGTGGTATCCGGTGCCTGGAGCAGCCAGAAGAGAGGTAAATCACCAGGGGGGAGGGACCCTCCCATGAGCGTAGTTTAGGAAGGACAGGGGGTATTGCCCCCCTTCACACACACACCCCCCGAAACAGAAGCATGGCATAGGGGGCTGTGTGGGGTCACATTCCACTGCCCATTTCTGCAAGTGCAGAGCTGCCTGGATGATGGAGTGTGCCCCTCCCGCTAGCTGACTCCGCCTCCTGGTGACAGTCATACCCCTCTTCTATGCGTGCTGGGAGCCATACAATGGTGAGTGCCACTGGTGGGTCATGGCAAGGGTGGCAGCGGGGGAGGGACGAAGAAAGGGGGGCAGGATTGGATAGGGGGAATGGGATGTAGGAGTGAAGGGAAGGAGATAGGAGCAGGGAACAGTGAGAAGGGGAAGGCAATGGAATGGGGAAGAGGCAGTGGAGAAAGGGATAGGATAGGGAAGAGAAGCAGATGGGGGAGGGATCCTGGTGCTGGTGGCAGCAGCAGCTGGGGCTCCCCTATTAAGCAGGCCCATCGAACCCTCACCCCGACAAACCTCACACCTGGACCCCCCAACCAATTGCACCCAGACTCCAACCCCAGCAAGCCCCACTCCCAGACCCGCTCACTGAATCCCATCTTTCCCCACCTGGATCCCCCTGCAGAGTCCCATTGTCCCTGTATCTGGAACCTCCCTTGTGCATCCAAATCCTCCATTGAGCTTTCCGTACCCAGAGTGCCCCCCACAAAACCCTCTTACCCCACATCTGGATTCCCCTACACTAAGCCCGCCACAGTTGGACCCTGCTGGGCTGAGCCTGCCTGCCCACAACTGGTGCGCCTGGTGCAGAGCTCAAGGGTGTTTCTGCAGCAAGCCTGGCCCTTCTGCTGTATCAGGTACAGCCTCACTGCAGAGTCCCTGTTCCATGGGTGATCTCCCACCTCTGTGCAGCCAGCGATCTGTGCTCACCACTGCTATGCTGGAGCCTCCACATTTATTTATTAACAAATAAAATTTGCAAAATTTTAAAATAGTGTGCAGAAATTTTCTTGGCGCAGAATTCCTTAGGAGTACCATATCAACAACAAGTAGGAAACATGCTCTAGAGTAGTGTCCTTACTCATCAGTTTCTGTACAATGTTATTTTAATTCAAGCTTAAGTTTCTAGCACCTGTGACTGCAAAGATACCCTTCCAACTGGGAACTGGTGAGTTTTGTCTTTCAAGATCTACAGAAAGATGCAGCTTGGAACAAAGACTTATTTGCCCAAGGCCTAGATCACAGCATCATCTTGGACTGGAAGGGAAGGAATCACTCACTAGCAACTTGCTTTGCATCTGGTCATCCAGTCTTAGGGATGGGATATGCTCTCCACTGCCTGTGCCCTCACTAGGGGTTTGTCTACAATACAAAATTTGTCACTTACTGATAGGTACCATCATACCAGTGCAGAACATGGATTAGCTGCAATGGTAACAGTGGCCAAAACAGTCAACACCACTTGATTTTAACCAGAGTTTCTGAACCCCCACTGCAAAATCCCTAGTACACAGGAATCTCCCTGCTGGGTTAGGTTCTGCGAGATTCAATAGGTGGGAATCCCCCTATGTGGGCTCCCAAATTCCTATCCAGACCCAGAGTAGGACTACACTGGATTTGCTACAAAGAGTGTCTGTTGCAGAGAAGGAGCAGGACTTGCCACCAAAAAAGTTGTGAGCCAGAAGCTCTTTAAAACTGGCATTATCATCTCCTCTTAGAACCTGGAATACACAAGTTTCCTGACTAGATTTAGCATTTTCCTACATCAGCAATAGTGCTGCATTTCTAGCCCTGCCAGAGGCTGACTGACATGCTTCTGTTTCATGCTGGTACAGAAAGGTGACTCCTCAAGATTATGCACACCTCAATAAATGCCACACAATAAGTGAGCTCGCCTCTTAAAATTACCATCAAGTCACTGAGAATGTTAGTTAGAAACTGGAAGACTTTGCACTAGATAATACCAGTTTTAAACAGACAACGCCATCCAAGAATGGAGTTACATAGAGATTTTGTAGTCTTAGTTCTTTTAAAGGTAAGGAACAGAGATATAATGCCTACTTCCAATACAAAGATAGGATTGTTTTGCTTTACCTTTGCTTCTTGTACATGTTTGGGTATGTTTTAAGCCCCCTTATATCAGAGATACAGAAGTTAACACAGAACGTATTAAGCTGTAAGTCATTCCTCTTGTACATGCAAAACATTTACCTAGGATCCTTTACCAAAGAATCATTTGACCACAGATATATGAACAGATAATGGTATCTTATTAACTTTTCTGCTAATCGAATCAGCTGTACAGAGAAACTAAATGACTATAGAAATAATATACTGTAGGAAAGGGAACAGAAGGGCAATCAACAACTCAAGTTACAACAGGGCTAAACTCTAGCCTAGACATACCTTAAGTATCAACCAAAGTTATATTTTTGGAAGATGTAACTACCTGTCTAGTAGAACCTGGACATAGGGCCATGTGCATCCTCCACCCCAACTGCACTCCACTCATTTCACAAGGTCAGGGACATCAAAAAGTAACTGTATTAGATGAAGACTGGTGAATTAAGTGCAAGAAACCCCAGTATTGTCTCATCACACCTCCTACCACACACTTTTGCACACAAGTAATTGCATCATCATACCCTTCCCGCTCTGTCTGTGTTAGTAGCTGGCAATTTCTGGCACCCAATTCCCAAAGTCAACCCACAATTACCAAAATCAACCAATTCCTCATGTCACACCACATTTATCTAGATTCAAAGTCTGCACACAATCTTCCAAGGATGAGCTATTTAGTTTTTTTTTTTAAATATACATTTCATTCTGGGCATTTATTTTCCAAGGGATACTCACCACATAAATGTGTTTTCTAGGTGAACAATGATAAAAATATAAGTATACTGAGCCATTACTATGTTCTACCCCTACCCCCACCTCCTCCTCCTCAAGAAGTAATCCTATAATCCATACAAGCATTAATACAGATCTCAGATTAAAGCTACAAGTTCCACAAAAATTAAAACTGAGAAAGCCTCAAGTAATATTTTTGTTCCAGTTTC